TAAAATAAAATAAAATAAATAAAGATCAGGAGAAAACTTAAAAGTGAATATATGTTATAATATTTATTATTCGAATCATTTTACAGTTCGAATAATACAGAAAACTTGTACATTTATTCACCATTTTCTTTGATATTGTTTTTCATTTGCTTATGATAACCTGTTATCAAAAATGGGTAAACTGAATTTTGAAAATGAACAAAGATACTTAGGTATCCATTGCAGCTATATATAACTGTAAAATAAACCTAAGCTTCCCGTTTTCTTTACTTGGCAAAACATGATTTTTAGTAAATTATTATTGTTTGATTATGATCTCCAAAATTGTTCCTTGTTTTGATTAATTTTTTACCATTTAATGAATATGTTTAGGGTTTTTTTTTTTTTTTTTTTAAAGCTTACCAAAATGGTATACCATTTAAAATAATTATATGGTAACTGTTAGTCAAGCACACAAATTGATGAATAGGCTTACAGCTGTTATTTAGCAAAAACCAAAACAAGTAAGCATGTTTTAGTCGGGCAAACTTGATATTGTGATACGCGCTCAAGAAGAGCTTTAAATGGGGTTTCAATCTGATTTTTATACTCAATCATGAAAGTGAAATGAGTATGTGAATGAGTATTCTTTTGTTTTAGATTGTTGTGCATGTGTTTATTATTATATGAAATACAAATATCTATATTATTTAGATGTATTAATAGTTTTTCATTTGAGACTCCAACTTCAACTTAAACTAGCTATACATGTTTAAAACCCAATATACCCCACTCACTATGTAAGCGAGTATTTGAGTAGAGGTAACTTTTTTTGTTGGGGGCATTGACGACTGCTAATTTGTGTGGGTCGACGTTTAGCATGTCTGAAGCGTAGCGATTGTCTTGAATTTTGGGCGGGGTTGAGCTTCAGTTGCGTTTCATAGAAGTGGAGAATGAGTGAGAAACAGCATGGGCTGTGGTCTATGTCAACAACAAGTCAATTAACAAATTTAGTTGCCAATGCTGCGTGTCTAATCTCAAATGCTGTAAATCAGTTTCAATGACTGCTGATTAGCGGGCGATAAGAGTCTCATGCTCACAATTTGTCACTTACTGATCAACTTTCTCTCTCCCTCTCTCTGTTTCTCTGTTACCTGTTGCAGGTGTGCGTTTAATCTAGTGAGCGACTTCCACGTGGCGGCGGTTCTTCCAGAAAGCCGCCTGGATGCGTTTTTGCTTTGATCGGCTGTGCTTCGCCACCAAGCGGCCAGCCAGCAATAGCAATAGCAACAGCAATAGCCATCAGCAGCAGAGCGGCACAAATGAGCCGTGCAGCAGCAGCAGTAGTAGTCATATCAACAATACACACACCAATACAAATACAAATGCAACCACCGCAACCACCGCACAGCCAGCCGTCACTCTCTATGCCGACTACCAGAAGCTGCAGCCAGCGATAATCAGAAGAGACGACACCGAGGCCAAGCCACCGGACATCAACTCAGAGAACAGTCGAGAGCAGCCGCCGCCAGCAAGCAGCTCCACCCCCCAAACAGCACCACCACCACCACCACCAGCAGCACCGCCAACAGCACCGCCAGCAGCAGCACTCGTAGAGCGTCGCTATCGGCGCCACAGCAGCGCCGAAGATCAGCAGCGCACGAGAGCGATTGCGAGCGCGATTGCGATTCTATTGCCGAGAGCTAATTCGAATACGAGTCTGAGAAAAGCGGCCAGCATGCAGCAGGAGCCGAACGCCAACTATCAGTTTCAGCCCGACCTGGGTCTGGTGAACATCGTCAACAACAACAACAATAACATCGGCAACAACAGCAACAGCAGCAATAGCTTTGCCAACAACAGCGGTGGCATCGTTACGCTGCCCGCAGCCAACAGCATTGGCTACCTCGGCCTGGAGCATACAGCGGCGGGTCTACGCCTGATACCCGCCCCGGCGCCGCCCTGCCACTCGGACGTGCTGACGCATACGCTGATCTACGGCACACCGCCCTCGGGCACGCCTCAACAGCTGCACACAGATCCGCGCAGTCTGCTGCACCAGCAGGAGCTGCAGCTGCAGCAGCGATATCAGCAACTGCAACAGTTGCAGGCGCAGACTCAGGGCGTTTATACGGCCTCGGCCAGCCCCGTGGCCGGGATCTATCAGCCGAGCAGCCAGCCGGTGGCCATACCCGGCACCTGTAATTCACCCACCGCCCAGCCACAGCAACAATTGCAGCAGCAATTGCAACAGCAGCAACTACAGCAACAGCAGCAGCAGCAACTGCAGCAGCAACAGCAACAGTTGCAGCAGCAGCAGCATCCACAGCCACCCAACTCCTTGGCGCTGGCTCAGCAAATGCAGGGCCTGCGTATTTCCGGCTGCACGCCGGGCAACAGCTCGGCCACGCCCTCGCCGGTGGGCATGGTCGATGCGACGCTCATGATGAGCAACACGTATGTGGCGGCCACGCCGCAGGAGGAGCGCTTCCTGCAAATCATTCAAGCCAAGGAGATGAAGATTCAGGAAATGCAGCGCGCGCTCCAAATTAAGGACAATGAAATTGCCGAGCTGCGTTCCCATCTGGATAAGTTCCAGAGCGTTTTTCCCTTCAGTCGCAGCAGCGCCGCCGGCTGTGCAGGCGTTGGCTCCGCTTCGCCCGGCGCTGGCAACGGCCCCGGTTCCGGCAGCGGGCCAAGCACGGCCACAGGCGCCACCCGCAAGTCGGGGCAGACGTTTCAGCGTCAACGCGCCCAGGGTATCTCGGCGGAGCCACAGAGCGAATCCTCCGTGCTGCTCGATCACATCAGCTTTCCCAAATACGAGAAGGATGAGCGGTAAGTGCAAATTGGCTTTAAATATATTTTATTTACATATTATTATCATTGATTTATTTAAACGTATTTTTGCTTTAATAGTTGATCTGTATATAGAGTAACAGGGCTTACCATATTGTAATATATTTATATTTATCTAAAATCAACTTATTCCCCATTTAAACAATATATTTTGTATATTTCTTCCTGACAGAATAGAAACAATTTAATTGGTTTGCTAAGTTTGGCATAATTAAATAAAATAATATGTGTTCGAAATTAAACCAAATTTAATTATATGAAAATTCTTAAGAAGACGAAATCTTTAAAGAACTAATAGGTATATTATAAATTATAATGATAACAACAAGAATAATAATAATATTAATACAAGGCAGAGTTTATTAGTAATTTAAATGTAACATTTTCAAATGCGATTCTATTTATCATGTAAATCTGCAGAAATCTAAAAGCCATTAGCCCAGTAAAAGGAAAAGATAAAATAATTTCTTTGAAATGTCATATCTATGATTTGTCAACGAAGTTTGCTAACGCCAAGAATATCGTTCTACAATAGTATCATATTATATTAGTGTTATTAATAGCTAAAAGTTTACCCCACAAGTCTATTTGGAAAATACAATTTCGCTTAGATTTTTCCATTCATTCAACCGGGTAAACATCACGAATTGTAGAAAATGATATTGAAATTTGGAACACGCCAACTGATTACGGCAAGTGAAAGATCAGCAGCTCTACCAGACAGACCTCAGAGTTAGCTATAGATTAGATTATTATTATGCATGCTTATATACATAAATATAAATATGCACATGCAACAGCGCAGAGACAGAGGCGTGAAAATAAATAAGTAACTAGGCTAAATATTTGAATAAATGAATTAGACAT